TTATTTTATTATTTTTATTAATTTTAGTTATAAATATCTTNTATTTTATATACTATATATATATATATATATATATATATATATATATATATATATAATATATTAAATGACTCATAAAAATTCAAATAATGATTCTAAACTAATTTATATCATAAAACAAACATAATTAAATTAACTTGATGGGAAATGGATCCATATGGTTACGAAATTTAATCTGCAATCATAGGGCACTCTACCTTCAATTGTGGACTACAGACCACACATGTCTTATCGAACCGACTCAGTATTTCTCATGATCACAGTCCAAGTAAGGGCTCCTTAGCGGGTCACCAAAGTCTGACAGATAAACCAAAGGGTTGTAATCTCAGTCTATCGATTACAGGTACTCTCCTAGAGACAATTCAATGTCACCAAAACTTTATGCGACCACAACTATATGGCGCATAAGGGTATCTCTCGTACATGCAGATGCTTTACCCTGAAAGGTGGATTTCTGGCTTTTTCGAACAATCTATCGATATGCATGTCGTGTGATGGTACATGGATGAGGTTTTGACCACTGTCTCTTTAGACCACCATCACACACAAGGACACAGTCCCTCGGCTCACTCATCCGGGCATGTTCTCCGACCTCATCAAGGGCTAACCCATAAACCCTCGTTGGTTTGTTCTTCATGCCTAGGTAACATGAGTTTTTCCCAACTAACTGGCTTAAATCGTTAAGCACAGATCGATATCAGCAAACCATCGTTTGTTTAGTATGATCCACGAGGCACCACACTCCCACTAAGTTCATGTTCCACTATATCATTTCATTTTACAATCACTTATAAGGCCTTTAAAGGCCACATAAACCAAACAAATGTGTCACGCATTCACGATCCTATCTCACTCGTCTTTGTTTCTTCATAATTCTACTCATCTTTATAAGTACATTATTTTTTAAAAAAATTGGTATATGTATATCATTTTAGAAATATTTTGTGATCTCTCTACGAGTTGTATATCTTTTTTGAAATCTTTTGAAATCATCCTCATTTTAGGAAGAGAGGTTGAGAGAGTCACAAATTCATAATCCTATCTCATTCCTTTTTCTTTCTTCATAGTTCTACTTATCTACTTATCTTTATAATTACATGATTAAAAAAATATATGCGTATTCTCTTTCTTCCCTTTCTCCCCCTAAGTATATGTACTCTCTCTACCCTACTCTCTCTCTCTCTATACCATTGTGTCATACAACCTATATACAATTAAGTATCCATCTTATTTTGGGGATATGTATCCACCCCTTAACTCTTGTGTAATAACTCTTTCTTCCATTTCTTCCCCTAAGTATCCGTATTATTTATCTTTCTACCTTACTCTCTTTCTCTCTCTACCCTTAAAGTTAGGAACGTGTCTTACATCCTCTATACAATTAGGGACCATTATTATTTATGCGACACTTGTCTACCCCTTAACTCTTGCTTAATAATATATTATAGATAAACTCCAAACTTTCCAAAACCTCATCAATACTCATTTGTTACATGAGTAGATGAAAATAGCCTTCACGATAGTCTTAGAACCATGAAGGCATCGCAAGTCTACTAAAAATCGTAATAGTCATAGTGAGTTGTAAGTCAAATATAGTTTTGAAGCATC